AACCGAATTTTCATTGAGGTAAAAGAATAGGTAACCATTTAGCTGAAGTTGACATTTTGGATCACAGCATTCCAAATCATTCTCTAAATGTATAATATTTACCACGAAACCTGAAGTTTCTGAGTTCGGTTAAATGTAGCATCTTCGTTATATACTACTTAGAATTTCCGATTTCAATTCAACAAATGAGGGACATATTATTTTATTATATTAAGAATTGTCATTTTAGGCTGGTGTCGAGAAGTCGGAGTTCAAATCTTACATGTTCATGTCACCTACCTACTTAATCATACCTGTTGCCCTACTTGATCCGTCAGAATATATAAAAAGTTGTATATAATTTCAAGGATCAAAATAAGGTTGCGTTATAATCAAAAAGTTAAAATAAAATAATGAGATAAAACGAAATGTGTTAAAATAATTATCCATTTAAAGAGTATAGAAAAGATGAATAAATTAAAAATATGAAGACGATAATAACAGTTGACTAAAAACTGGAGAAAGAACTAGATGAAATATCAATGATCGGTTGTGTGTGAAAAATTTGATATGATGACAGCTTGATGCAACGCTTTTGCATATTTAACTGAGGTTTGAAATGATAAATTGCTGCCACGAAATTATCCATAAAATGATTGACTGTAAGAACTGATAATCTGACTTACATGCATACTTGCAAATAATATGTTAAAAATAATAATTACAATAAGATGTTTGTAATTTGTTCCACCTGTTCATTTAATTAATATTAAATAAAACCTAGTTATTTGACTTCTATTATTACAGAACTCAACAATCATCAGAACAAGGTTTATTAAGTTTCACTAGAGCTCATAAAGTACGGTGTTTACGTGAATATATGATATGAGTAAGAATTTTTTTAAATTTTAAAATAAATGCAATTTTCGGTATTTAAAATAAAATTCTCCAAATATTTTCGAAAAATCCATCTAGCTATTCAAAATAGACACACGCGATAACATGATCGAAGTAATAATAACAATTTATTACCAAATTCCAAAAATCATAGGATTGGTAGAACGTAGATGCTTCATCGAACGTTTTTGATTAGTCGTTAAACAAACGAAAGAGGGTAAATCGAACAAATTTCATACCATTAGAAACATTATTCACTTCTATTAATATATAACCTTTCGATAGTCACCCATATTAGCATGAACCCATTGAAAAGCTCTTCGATGCTCGTTAATTTTCAGTATTTCTATAACTGCTGTCACTTCTGGATGTAAATGGTCCTCACGTTGTATTTTAAACAAGCTGATAAGAAAATAACGTCAATAGGATGCTGCCTGGTTTTAGAGAGTTGACAAAAAACTCTACACCTTAGTTAGTCAGATTTGATTACGTTTGGGATTCGAACCCTCGCCACCCAGTCTCATAGTTCAAGATGTTACGGCAAAGATATTAGGGATATTTGAGACTAATTGCTCACTGATCAGTGCTTGCCTGGTTCTACAATACTGATCGATGAAGACAAGAGATAATGCTGAAGGAAAGAAGCGTCAAAATCAAAAGTGGTCAAATTAAAAAATGAATTGTAAAGCCCAAGATAAATTACGAAAATCTACAAAGTGAATTTCATAATCAAGGCATCTTGATAGTAAAATCATAGAAGTTTGATAGAATGAGGAATATTTTGTGGTATGAATTTTCTAAGCATTTTAGTTTCATATAAATTTAGGTTTTGTTGAGAGATGTAAATAATTCAGTCTCATATTGGAGTTATCTGGGAATATGATTCAATTACATTTTTGTATATATATATATATTCTATAATTTAAGTTACATCATGTTTTTTCTAATTGAACGCTTCTGAAAAGTACATACAGATTATTTATTACTATACTGGAAAGGGAATTGCATAATATAGCCTCCATAACATTATTTTGAGTTATTGTTTAGGAATGAAGAAAAATAAATACTATTTTCATGACGGAATGAACTATAGACCTCTGTGCTCTGTTCACTTTATCATGTCTAATGAATCTTAATGGTTAATTGAACACGATTTTAAGGAACTGAATATTCTCACTTTTTTTTTCTCTCTCAATAATATCTGTAAGTGCATAACTCAGTGAATGAGATTAAATCTAGATTTGTACTGAATCGGATAGAAACCTTGTACTTTATGTCATTCGTTCATTGATATGAATTTAAAATGTTGACCAGTGGAAGAACGAGAAAAAAATATCGACATGAACTGTACGGTTGTGAATAGAGTTGATCTAATTATAATATCTGAATTGTGAAATATAAAAAAGACATTTCTCTTTTCATCAAGTTGCAAAAAACTGAATTTGCATACATCTAAGTGCAACAGTACTAGATATGCCGCAGTAATATCACATCAATTCGTTTAGGATTTACAAATACCAAGTAAGTGTGATCAAAATTTAATCCTCAATAACAACAGTGGAATAATAATTCAAACCTTTCCTATCAGTAATTTATTCAATAACTCCATGTACTGACCGCCACTAGGTTACTTCCAACCAACCCTTATATTAGCATATGTTGTCTATTGAGCATACGTAAGAATTTAAATTAAAATACATTACTTTTGTAGTCAGCAAAATAACGACTTATACGTTTTAATGAATATACAGTTGTTCTCTTTAAAGCTTGTATTATCAAACTATACGGTTAGTATAGTTAACTTTTCATGACATGAATTTGCTAATTACCCTTATTAACAATGATTTATATTCGTGAGGAGATAGAGTTATGTGACAATTCATTAGTAGTAAAAATTGTACAACGATATTTGATTCTCCTTAAGTGAACAAGATTCTTTTCTGTAAGAAATATGTATTTTAAAAACTGTACACTGATTCCTACCGAGTTAGTTATCACCATATAAGAACTTTAGTCTAAATTTGAACGAAAAGTTTCAGTGAAGTTGAGCGTCGAGTTAATATAAGACATTAAAGAGGAAAATTATAATGGTAAGCTTCAGTGATTGCATTTATAATAAACCGAACGTTCCGCTCGGTAATCTGGTTCAAGCATTTTCAAGGAAATTTAAACAAACATTGCGATTATTCTACACAAATACAAGGTTCACCGATGATCTTCAAACTAAACAAATCATCCGCTCATGTTAACAATGTAGAAAGTTGTATTAATAGAAGTGTGTATGATACACCTGGTGTGAAAAGCGTGTCACTATGACAGATGTATAAATGTGTAAGTGAATCTGATATAGGAAACATGGGGATTTTCGATGTATTCGGATAATTTAGTAAACGAGTCAGTTGGCACTAAACTCAGTAGGATCTGGTCATACATTTGATTTTATTGGCACAAGAATCCTCCAAAAAAGAATTAGTCCATACAAGGAACGAACACCGCTTGAAGTAAACGATTCCAATGATAGTTCGCCATAAGCTCTCACTCGAGCAGTAGTGTTCACGTAGAGAGCCGGTATAAGACTAGAATACTTCTTTGGTATGATTTTCAATGACAGACACCGTTACAGAACTTTGAGACCACCAGAGTCAAAATTCGCCTCAAGGTAAAGGAATACAACTACTGTAGGATGTCGAAATATAGGTCTCTGTTCTAGAAACCGTCAAAGTTCGAACATGTGGTCTATACAGCAACGTCCAGTTCTGACACCAGCCTGGTTTTCCCGAGTGTGCTCTTCACGAACTCTAGTTATTCATCGAAGCATAATTGAAGCTAATATCTTAGAACACCATTATAGTTAAGCAGATTCCTCTGTGACTGTCACAGGAGTACTCTTGGCCTTTCTTATAGACCGGGACAATCAGTGATTGAGACCAATTAGATAGGATTACGTTCAGTTCCCAAAATTCTGTCTAAGATCTCAGTCAATCCATATACACCTCAGGGGCTGAACCATCAGATCTTGCTGCTCTTTCTCACCTTAGAGTGCCTATAGCCTTTTCAACCTCATTGAGTCAAACTCACATCAACATGCCGTTTAGGTTAACGAGTGTAGCTGAATCGCTACCTAAGATGTTCTGCCCTTTGATCCAATCTCCTGGATTGAGAATGGATATGAGTCCCGTCGTTTCCCGAGTCTCGCTAAAAATAGAATCCCCAATACCCGTTTCCAACAATGAGTTAATTTTGGGGGTTTCCATGTCAACGGATGATTATCCTTATGTTTAAAGTTGGTATATGCGGTTATCTAAACATAGCTGCAACGGACGGTCGGCAATATTTGTTCGATGAGCCACAATACTATAAGATCAAACTATGTTTGTCAGTTTTGCTCAATACTTGAGCATTAAAATAGCCAAGCTTTATTACTACATCAGTGTTTAGCATTTCGAAGGTTGGAAAGGTTTCCGTAAAATTCAGCTTTTACCTCATCCTCTTTTCAAGTTTATCTTAATGGCTTATACTTATTGAATCACATATTTACTACTATAGGATTTTAACTGACGATTCTATCTCTCTATGCTATGATAGGAGAATTTAAACGGATAACTGATCACCACAACCTCCACATACATAAAATGCGAATAGGTTAGTTTTTACCCTACTTGGTCCAAAAGATTACTGCAACCGACAAGTTAGACTTTGCATGACATAGTTTAAGAAAGTTCACGACGACAGGTGCATTCACTCCCTATCACTATTACTCTGAGGACTTGAAATATTTTCATCTCTATGCTAATGTGAAATGGCAACTTGAACCGATCCACATATATGTCAATTTTAACGTTGCGTATGGTTGAGTGGCTGACTTTAAACATGCCATAGCCAAATATACCACACATCCTTTAAGACATAGTAAACAATATAGACGGATTTCAAAAGCTGTAAGATATAACAATAAGCAAAGGGTTTATTGCAGAAATGCGAATGGATTAATTAAATAGAGAATGATACATGCACAGAGAAATTTATCCACCGGTGATCATTAGCATTGTGACAAAAATAGTAGAAATACGAGCGCTTCAGTGAAACCAACCAATATCAGTCAGTTTTCGTTTTAAGACATCACTTTAGAGTCTTTTATAATTGCGAACAGCAACAACGTCACCGACAGTCACAGTCTAAAAGGAAATACATATTACAAGTAAGAAAACTAGTTACTTACAGTTTTCATGATATCGCCATCTATTTCCCGAACGATTACAGTTGTGTTTTTGGGATCGACTTGAGTTTGAGTCAACTTTGATTCGGAATCTTTGATGACAATTGACTACACAAAAATAAAGCGAAAAGTTAGAAACCAAAGCTCAACATTAAAGTTTAATGGAGTTCAAATGATAATGCTCTTCATTCAAGGGAACAAAACGCTCTTGATTACCGTTGACTATGGAAGCAAAGGCGTGGTGCTTTAAGTATCTATGGGTTCTTTGCTTTTGTGTTATAAATTGGAGCTACTTGGTGACATTTATCCTGTGAGATTACATCCACTTCTTTTGTCTCATTCACCACTTCAGTAGCTCAAACGGTGATAGATTGTTGATATTAATATAAATGATCTTGATGGTACACAGGACTAATTATGGAAGGCTATACAATAAAGCATATGTTCGAGCAATGGTTTTGTATATACAACTGATTAGATATGAACCTATTAAAAAAGACTGAACTTCAGACAAAAAGAGAGCAAACAAGCGAAAGGGTAGATGGGCTGACAACTATGAGCAGATAATTAATGTTATGAAGATTAGAAGTTAAGACATTGATAAGCAGAATGATCGATTAGGGTTATTCCTCCTAAGGATTGTTCAGTTTTTTTACTATCACACCACTAAATCACGTACATACAAAAAATCCAAAATTTTATCTACCTTGACGGTTCTCCCATCACTGGTTTTTTCTTCGAATTCCTGACCGAATATGAATGTGGAAGAAAGATTTTTGAAAGTTGACTCAGTCAACATGGTCATCTTATCACCATCCAATGTAAAGGTCATAGTTGGTGTTACAGTGTTCCCAATCTGTCGAGTTGCCCATGAAATACCTGAAGGGAAGAATATAGGTGGGTTATGATTTCTTGTTTTGATACGAATAACCACCGTAAAATCATAATGGAGGTAAAAAAGACTGATGAGTAGGGCAAAAATCAAACTAAATATACGTCACCAAGTTGTAAATACTTCCTCAAGGTATATTGAATGTAAATGCTCTATGCAAATTTCTCACAGAGCACATAATTGCATCATGTATGAATATTTAGCTAGGTGTTCGTTAATAACACAATGAAGTAACAGAAGACTCCCTAGTCAACAGGCATTTGTTTGTTGGACAACTTGCGTTTTGGTCTATGAGATATTAGTCTATAGCATTATTACTTCCCTTAAAGTTTGGTCAGTCCATTCTAGGTAGAGATAAAAAGTAAGGTGGCAATATGAAGTACCTGTACATACAACTATCAAGCTACTCGAGCAGTAGAGTAGTTGCGAATCATTAAGAGCCAGAAATATGAAAATTGAAAGGTATATTATGCGGAAACTATCAGTAACAACAAACACCGAATCAAAGATTAGCACGATGAATATAAACACAAGTCAAAGCGACGTTATAAATTACCTAGCTTTGCCATAACAGCATCGAAGTTGTGAGATTCGTTAAGTTTCCATTTCCCCACGAAACAGGACATTGTGTTCAACTAGTTTGGTGTTTCTGATGCGCTTGAACAATCACAGAACTTAAGTTTATTGTAAATTTGAAGCTGAATTTATTCTGTAAGGTATAAAAAGAACGTGAGAGTAATAATACTTTAGACATCGACCATTATATTACAAATGACGTGGACAGAACCATCAAACAGGACCAACGGTTTATTGTGGTCAGTCTCAGCCGTGTGACTTTCGTTGAAAGCACAGCGAGTGACACAGCTGAACTGTCCCTATGGGTTTAGTGATAACAACACTCAATATAATAGAATCAATCGCTTTAGAAGAGATCCCTATCAGTAATGTATTGTGAAATACGGTATACCGAATCAAGACTTCGCTGACTACGGAATTTATTGCATGGATTTATATATAATGGGCAACGTCGCTATAATTATATATCCATTGATTGAATGTTCGGTGGTTACTGCGAGTATATTTTGTGTAAATCTTTAGCGAAATAACACCCCAGTCTGGTTTCAGGCCTATGAAGTACACACAGAATGAAAACAACACGAAACGGAACAACCAGTACATTAACCCACTTGTAATCGACTAGCCGCCAAATCTGATTCTCCCCAATCTGTCCTTGCAAACGTATGTATAAAAACAATGGTCTAGCGACAAATTCAATGTTACCATCCTTATAAAACAATTTGTAGGAAATGACAGTTAATCAACTTGAATTGAGTGATAACGGTCGTTCTGTTCTATTGCAGTATTTATTTTACGATGTTAAATTTTGGAACGATGTTTGCAGACAAGAAGATAAGCCGACTCTTCAAGATCATCTTGACCGGCTTAAAAGTAACGCAAATAACAAAGAACTGACTTTTTTCGGCTTCAAAGTAAAAAGGAGTTTACCTAAGTCGTGATGTGAACTATGTACAGAAGTGAGGTAATTCTCTTCTGGAGATATTCCAATTTGAAAAACAATTAGGAGTCTTTTTGGTTCTTAATCTATGCTTTTGGTCTCAAAAACTTATGTTGAATGCCGGAAAGTCTGATGACGAATAGTAATAGATGTATTTTCAGTAAATAATACAAATTTATCTATAGACAAATCAGAGAAAGGGAACATACGGAGAGGAGTGTTCGTCAACTTCACTGTTTGAATACCATCGATCGTGCCAGAGATTCAATGTCAACGTCAAACATCATATGAACCATGCTACCAAAGTTTGAGAGCCCAGAGCCTTGGTTTACTGGACAAACATCCGCCTTATAACTAAGAAAGAATGTGGTGGCTCCACGTATGAAGAGAACACGATGCACTCAATTGAAAAATTCAGTATGATAATTAACTGTACCAATGACTGTTTAAACAAATCTTTTGTTTATTTGCACTTTTACGCGAAAACTTTCTATTTGTGTTGCTTCCATTTTGGTTAAACTACTGACTATAACTCCGCTCCCCTTCTCTGGCACGATTTCGGTATTCCTTTCATACGGAGAAACTCCGCCTGTAGACCCTTTGAGGCTACTGCTGGTCCTAAACCCGGATAGAGGAGGGTTGATCATGAGGTTGGCGACCATATCCTCCATATAAACAACCTCGCTAAGAAAACGATAACCTGAAAAAATAAATCAAATCATTTTTAACTCTGCCCTGGGAGTAGGAAGAAGAAGTATGAAGTCTCGTGATAAAAGCCGAGTTACCTCGTAAGACCCTTCTGACAACCAGAGAAACTATTCTTTTAGGTACATGGAACTTTCGTACATTGTGGGAGACTGCAAGACTATTTCAAGGTGCTGCAGAAATGAGCATATACAACCTGGAAGTGTTTGGAATAAGTGAAACGCAATGGACGCAGGTAGGACAACTGAGACTAGCTTCAGGGAAACTGCTGTGATACTCTAGTCGTGAAGAGGACAATGCTTCACATACACAAGGCATTGCACTGATGCGATCCAAACAAGCACAGAAGGCTCTAATAAGATGGGGATCTCATGGACCCAGGATAATCAAAGCATCCTTCAAAACAAAGAAAGAGGACATCACAATGAATGCCATCCAGTACTGTGCACCTACCAACGACCGCAAAAAAAGGCGTTAAACATCAGTTCCATGACAGGCTTCAGTCAATCGACGAGGAATGCTCATCATAGGATTTGACGATTCTGATGGGAGACCTAAATGTCAACGTTCTCATGGACAACACTGGGTATGAAGACATAATGGGACGAAATGGAATGGGAGAGAGGAATGAAAATGTTGAGAGACTTACAAACCTATGGGCCTTCAACAAACTGGTCATCGGCAGAACAATATTCCCACACAAACGCATACAAAAAGCTACACGGATTTTACCGGATCACACTACTAAGAACTAAATCAGATAGACAGACGCATACAACGTAGAACTTCGTACGTAAGTACATCAATTCAGGTTGCCAAGCTCCATCAGCACACAGGCAACTGTCAGTTCAAATCCAAGAGTGATAGCAATAATAGAAGTATTAGAAGTAATGGAGAAGATTAGGGAGCGAAGATATCATTCGAGAAGCATAATTCAGTAAGACAAATTTAGAAGAAGAAAGAGATTGAGGAATGCAGAAGCTTGAAATTTCATAGAATAAAAAACAGTGGATGCACCTTCGTCAATGCAAACGATTCTGAGCTATGTAATTCAAGGACTCTAACCATAGGATGTAGAATCCTTTTTGAATGTTTTGTGTTTTGGAAAATCCCTCCATGTTTACATATTTTTGTTATGACATGACGGACTTTTTCTGTTGACATTTTTGGTATTTTATTTGATTCCAATTTGAGATTTTATCATTGTATATTATTATTATTTCTATATTTTGTACTTATATTGAAGTTTTTATGCTTGCTTCTGAACTGTACACATGTTGTTTAAATTTGATCTTTAATATGGCTACAGCCATTTTGGATTTGATATTGTAGCCATTTGGACTGGAAGCACTTATTCTTCCAGAAGCGGATACCCACCAGGGTAATTTGTGTAACAGTTGTTCGGTAAATGTTTGTATTTCCATTTTATAATGAAAATAGACCGATTTCTCCCAGAATTATTGTGTTTTGCTATTGGATCCGGGACGTCGAGTGCCAACCTGCACCTAATGGAAACAAAGTGAACTGCTACGGTAGAAAATCCATCTACATCGGTGACTATCGTCTCGCGGACCCCAACCAGTAGTCTTAACCTACCAACATGACTCAGTCCACTTGTCAGTGACTTCATTGATTTCTACCATATTTTGGTCTGGCCGCCCCTAACTTTCTTCCAACCTATTCCTACACCGCAAAATATAGCTCGTCGAGGTAGTCGGTAGTTAGCCATTCGTAACACATGACACAACTACCTCAATTATGAAGTTTTACTACCTTCATCTATCGATTTGCCATGACTAGCCTAGAACTCGTTTCCTAACGACAGCATTGCTTATACGGTAGTCCCATGATACGCGAGCAACGTTCGGAGATACTGATGATCGAAAACTAGTAACCTCTAGTTTTAACGGCCAAGTACAGTACAGTACATTCGACCTTTATTTAACAGACGGATATCTCGCCTGAGCCATAGGTGACGCAGGTTGGCAAAGGAAAATCGAGTCTTCTGTATCCGAGCTGAGATTTCGTCAGTCACGAGGCCATCAGCACTGATGAGACTACCCAGATAAGTGAAGCGGTCTACACGTTCGACTACTTCACTCCCTATCACTAGTTCAGCTGACGATGAAACCCAATCTTGAAACAACATTTTACATTTCAAGGGTGAGAACCGCATCCCGAATATGCTTGCATTGTTGCTTAGGGTGGTCAGAAGACTCTGCATTTTGTTAGCGCCTTCACCGACTAGAACTGTGTCATCGGCATATTCTAGATCAGTAAGCGACTTTCCTGGTAGAAGGTCAACCCCTGAAAAATGTGACGAGCTTAATATTAACTCTCAGAGGATGTCTCTGACAACATTAAACAAGAATGGAGAGAGTGGACATCCTTGACGGACACCACTTGATGTAGAGGATTCCGGTGACAGTTAGCCATATGCTCTCACTCGACCAGTAGTGTTCGAGTAGAGTGCTTGAATGAGGTTAATATACTTCTTCGGTACATTTTTCAATGACAGACACTGCCACAGAACCTCACGATCCACTGAGTCAAATGCCGCCTCAAGGTCCAGGAACGCGACTATTGTCGGACGCCTAAATGTATGCCTGTGTTCCAGGACCTGTCATAGTGTTAATGTATGGTCTATACAACCACGTCCAGGTCTGAAACCAGCCTGGATTTCTCGAGTCTGCTCTTCACGAGCATTAGTAATGCGTCTAAGCATAATCGAGGCTAACAATTTAGAAACTATATTAGTTAGACTGATTCCCCTGTGATTGTCGCAAGAATACTTTTGTCCTTTCAATCAAGGATTGAGTACAGTCAGATGGGATTGTGTCCAGTTCCCAGATTCTACCTAAGATTTCAGTCAATCTGGCTTCTAAAGCTGACCAACATCCTTAAAAATCTCAAGGGTCAGTCTATCAGGACCTGCTGCTCTACCTCGCTTTAGATTTCCTATAGTCTTTTCAACGACATAACCGTTCAGAGGGCTTACGTCGATTTGCCATTCAGGATGACTGGGGATCGTGTGTAACCGAATAGTGGGCAGTTGAACTGATCCCTAACGTGTTCTGCCCATTGGTCCAGTCTCCTAGATTGAAAGTGAAAAGTGGTCCACTCTTTTACGAAATAGTCTCACTCACATTCGGGTTCCTAATACCGGTTTCCTTGATAAGGCGGAAAAGTTGTCTACTGTTGCCGATCGCCGCTGCCTTTTCCATCGCTTTTGCTTTCGCCATCCACCACTATTCATGGACGTTGCGCAGGCCTGAGCTTAAGCTGACCTCGTTCTTCATCATGTTTAAAGCCAGGTGGCATGAGTATTCGGGCATCCATCTGATCGGTGGATGCTACTGAGATCCACGGCTTCATTCTAGCCTTATGGTCAACCTTACTAGCAGA